TCCCGATGAATCGACTTTAAGAAAAAGCTACGTTTTTCAGTGTTATCAGGAAACTATAGATAAAATCAGATCTTACGTAGAAAATAAAAAAATTTAGGTAACTTTAGATGAAACTACAGACGCTGAAGGGCGTTATGTAGCAAATGTTGTTGTGGGAATTTTGGAGTTGAATGGCCCCGGAAAACATTTTTAATAAATACTGAAGTCTTAGAAAAGGTAAATCATAGTACAATTTCAAAACTTTTCGATAGATCACTTCAAACAATTTGGCCAAATGGTATAAAACACGACCATGTATTACTTTTATTAAGTGATGCTGCACCACATATGGTCAAAGCAGGTAGAGCTATCAAGGTATTTTATTCAAAAATGGAACATGTGACCTGCTTGGCTCACGCTTTACATAGGGTTGCGGAAGAAATTAGAAAACATTTTCCAAAAGTCGACCAACTTATTTCTAACTGCAAAAAAATATTTTTGAAGGTTCCTTCGAGAGTACAAATATTTAAGGAAATAGCACCGAATATTCCATTACCCCCACAACCCGTTCTAACTAGGTGGGGGACATGATTAATGGCAGCCTTTTATTATTGTGAACATTTTGGTACAATTAAAAATATTATCATGAAACTGGAAAATGATGTGACCTCCATTGAAAAAGTAATTGATTTAATCACTGATCGCGAGTTAGAATTAAATTAAATTTATATTAAATCAAACTTCGGATCGCTACCAAATTCTATAACTAAACTTGAATCATAAAAAATATGCCTTGCTGATGCTATACTAGTTGTACAAGAAGAAAAAAATAAAATTCATCAAGCACGAAATATAGTTGGACGTGAAATTCAAAATAAATTCAATAATGTTTTAGAAAAAAATAGTGGTTACAAAAATATGCAGATTATTTCAAAAATGTTAGAAGAAGAAGAAGTGACAACAGAAGGCTTGCCAGAAGATTTGAATATAGATGACATCACTGTTTTCAAGTATGCACCAATCACATCTGTGGAAGTGGAAAGAAGTTTTTCTAGTTACAAAACTCTGTTATTGGACAATCGGCGATCTTTCCTTTTCGAAAATATTAAACACAGTTTGATAGTTCAATGTAACACAAGTATTGTTTAAAAATATTTACATAATATTTAATGTTTAAGTACTAAAAAGATTGACTTGTATAAAAATATTAGCATTATTTAGATGAATAAAATAATAATTAATAAATGATTTTAAGACGATGATTTATTGTTAAAAAACAAAATTTTTGAAAATTATATTTTTTGGTATTTTTAGGGTCATTTTTTGATGTTTTTAAGTCATTTTAATAGTTTTTTTTTGTGTATTTTTTTAAGATTTTTAGGTCATCAAGTTCCGGGCCCTACTTATGAGGAACTTTGTATTAAATTTTCAAGTATTTTGATAGGGCCAAAAAAATGTTATCGACACTTCAAAAAAAAAATTTATAATTTTATTTATAATTATTAAATAGGGGTTAAATMCAACTATACAATGTATTGAATACTTTTAATATATAAGGAATAAAGTCCTATCAATATTTTATTCCATTTCGACAATGAAGCTCTGGTCGGATAAGTCGGATTTGACTGGATAGCAGAAACAATCCCTCGATAAATGTCAGTGGTTGCTAGCACCGAACCTCTTGTCGCGTGCGGCAAACACCTAATAGCGCCCAACGATTCTAATTGTTGTTTGTTGGCCAGATGGATCAACCTCGTAGAATATTTTTTTAACTTCTTATCACCTAGAGACCTCGGTTGCTTTTCGTGACACAAGATCCTTACTTCTTCCTCCTCGTCGTCCATATATTCGGTGGGCACATAACACCGACCCAACGTTTCGCTGTCAGTGACGATATCACGGGCAATATTCACAAGTTGTAAGGCCTAGAAAATTATAAGCGATTATTTATACAACTATAATGTAACTATGTGACAAAAATCAAAAAAGTTATTTACTTACTCGTCCCATTTGATATGCTTTTTCTATGACATAATCGAAGTTCTCGACGAGATCATAATCGTCGTCATCACACCTGTACATCATCACATAAACACATAATGCACCGACGCTTCCGGCCACATAGGTGGAATATAATAATAAATCGTCTTCATTTTTGATCATTCTACTCTCAATATCCCATTTGTAACCTGCGAGTAACTCATCGAACGGCTTACGAGGTAAATAAAATGCTATTCTAGATAGTGCCCGGAAACATGCCATTTCCGCGTCAGTCAATTCGGATTCGTATTTCGTCCAATCAATATTCAATTCTTGTGGTTTGGTTTTAACTTCATTATCTGATTTTCTGTCATTAAACAATTCGTTGATAAATCGTTCAGTTAACTCAAATTTTAGTTTTTTCTTTTTTACATCCGACACCTCATCAATCATGTCATCCGTTACACGACAAAATGAATATAAAATTAWTAAATCCAACCGAATCCCTAAATAAAAAATATATCTCATTAGAAACAACATTATAATTTATATTYATACCTATTTATATGATTTAAAACTCAATAATATGAATGTATTTAATACATTTTACAAATCATTTGAATAACTGAACTTGTACTCAAATGTACAAGAAATATTATATTTTTAATAAAAATTAACGAAAAGCTACATAAATTTATTTTATCTTTATTTTCTGAGACTCGGAACCCTATTTTTTTTATTATTATTATTTAAGATTCTGAATGGAACGATAATTATTAAATTCACAATACTATAAAGTGTTTTTTGTTAATCTGGATAAAATAAATTGTTTTTGTTATACACTTTTTATAAGTTTATAAGTAGTATAAAAAAGTCTTTAATTTGAAATATTGAAATATTTTCCAAGAGTTTTCGTTYATCTAATTGGTAAAGTGAAGTTTACCTTGTCATTTGGTAAATATTTGTGATTTATATCTTAAATTTAAATTCAATGATAAATCACTTCATACGAATCTAAGTTAATACACGATGTCAGCCTATATTATATAATATAGGCTATATTAATAAATAGTAAATATATTTATATTTTATTTTGTTTTATGATGTATTCATATTCCTATTAAAATAATTTTCTATCCTATTACCATATAAATTAGATTAATTTAATTTTCACAAGAGTATTGCATAATATAAAAATGCCCTTTTGTGTATAAAATACAATACCTATACCTATCACACGTTAATGTTTCAAATTCCTACGAATCACAATTTTGAATTCAGACAACATAACTTAAACCATTTTTCATTAATTTCTATTCATTGCGATAAAAATTGCTTGGTGATAAAATGTAATACATGTTTTCAGTATAACTTGAAAATACTTAAATATGGGATTGAAAATAATTTGATCGTAATCTGCAGACATTTTTTTTTAGTGTTTGAAGGTAGAACTTAGACAAAATCCATTTAAATCACGTTCATTTATGAAACTATTTTGTAGTTATGTTAACTAATTTGAGTTAACTTTAGGTATCATAAATTAAGATAAGTATTCTATAAAATATAAATGATTTAATTAGGATCATTTATTGACATTTTGTAATAAGATTAATTTTTATTTATATAGTTCACTGTATAAGAGTGCAATGGAGTAAATAGGATCAAACATAGACCTATAAAGATCTTATTCTTTATAGGTATAACGGAAAAACCTATATATGCCTTTTTTTACCAAATATATTTAGAGTTCTGCAGGCATTTATCCTACAAAAATTTGTTTCATAGATACCTATAAATTTCTTACCGGACTGAAAAAGAAAACTGGCGGTGGTGAATGATTTTGAAGCGACTTTGATGATTTTAATACATTCTTTTATATCTTCAGTGACAATTTGTGGCATATTATATTCCGATGTCTTGAATGCCCGAAATAGTTGACAAATAAATTTCCAATTAATACTAAATCGTTGTGGATACTCCAACGTGTACGTTTCTATTACACCGCGAGCTTTATCGAAGCAAATCCCAGACAAGACAATTATAACGTTTACTATGAAGAAAAAAAATGCTTCTTCTATTGGTAAGTCGTCTATGACAAATATATTYAGACTAGTTTTTTCGTTGATATGCCAAACGTTTTCCTTAAGAGCCAATTGATCGATCCAGCATAGGTACAACGTAGGGACCACGATCGCAAAAGTGGATGGTATAATTTTTTTCACRAAAAAATTTCCTGCTCCATACCACATGAATATAATCACCGGAGATACCCAACATAGTATACATCCCAAGTAAAACGTCCCTTGTCCGGGGATTACCATTTTATAACCTATTATCGTAGTCATGGTCAAAATCGTAATTGGTATCCATCGAATCAATTGGTAGCTGCGTTTGTCATAGTTGAAATTTAAGCACGGGGTTGACCATCGAACACAGAGCAAAGCCCACAGGGATGTTAGAACTGTTTGTATAATAAAAAACATGTACTCTTCAATAGGCACATATCCAATACGAGCCAAGACTTTTTCAGGGTGAAATGTCCAGCCACTTTGATAGATGATATAGTTATCCCATGGTGTTGTGTACAGAAAAGCTATGACACTTATTAATGAAATTTTAAACACTTCCGAACGGTTAATAAATGGTCGGGTGATTAATAACAATAATCCAATAACTGGAAGTGTGTACTTTAAGTGGAAATCAATGTAGGTTAACATTTAGACGTATTATGAAGCCGGAAACTGAAAAACAACAAATTAAACTGTCAATATTATTTMCACAACTCACAAAAAAATATTTTATCTAAATAAGATTTTTTGTAATTAATGTACCGTTCAGAAATTGGAGTTATTTGGTTCTTTTATTTGTTATATTTATTAAATGTATCAGTTTTCTTTTTTGTAAATTTAATTATATTACATTAAATATTAATATGTGGGAAAAACAATAATAAGGTAAAACTTTTAGCGTCACTGATGGCAGGGTAATCTGTTTTCATAAATACAACTTGGGATAGCAAGGAGCTCCGCTCCCTTATGATAAATTAATCTTCAATTCAAAATAAATTATAATAGCTCAGTAAAATGTAGTACAATTAAAATGATACACGCATATTCACTACTAATGCCAACGATTCCTATCACCACTAAATATYCATCAAATGAGCATAAATTTATAAGATGTTTTGTAATTTTTACTTGTTAAATTTTTTGAAATCATACTTATATTTGCAGTGTGTCAAGTTGTATATTTGATCATCGCAGATAACACTTAATACATACATGTCAT